AGGAGAAGGCCGAATCTCCTAACACGCAGAACCATTCTTTTTGCCACATCATAAAACCTCATTTCTAATTCACTCAATGGATGTCTCTATTCTAGTTTTTCATTCATTGTTATATGGAAAAGAACAGTAGAGTGAAAAAAGCATTAGGGTCAGACAAACCTAGGGTCTGAATTTCCTGACAAATTCTGCTACTTTGTTTAGCATTAAGGCTGGTACTAATAAAGTGGCTAAATGGTCTGGAAGAAATTATAATAATAAACATAAGCCGGGCTCGGTGGCTCAGCCTGTAATCCCACGCCTTTGGGAGGCTGAGGTGAGTGGATTGCCTGAGCCCGCGGGTTCGTGACCCGCCTGGGCAGCGAGACCTCATCTCTACAATAAATAAAAAAATCAGCCGGGCATGGTAGCACATGCCTGTAATTCGACTACTTGGAAGGCTGAGGCGAAAGGATTGCCAGTGCCCAGCAGGTGAGGCTGCGGTGGCCGAGAGGGGCCGCTGCACTCCAGTCTGGGTGACAGAGTGAGACTCCAACAAAAAATAAAATAAAATAAACATATACACTTAAAACATAGGGCATCTGAGTTTGCACCTCCTTATTAGTCTTTATGCTCCTGTCCCAGGATTTTGTAACAGATTACACGAACACAGCTCAGCAAAGGAGTGAAGACAAAATAATGACAATGTCAACAACTTGTTAGAAAGCAGCCAAACCAAACAAGCATTAGAGCTTATTCCATTCTACAAGTAAACTAAGGAGGTGAAACGTAATCAAGGAAATTCAGTTTAAAAGTATAAATATTTCTCAATCGGGTGCAGTGGCTCAAGCCTGTAATCCCAGCACTTTGGGAGGTGGACTCGAAAGGAATGCCTGAGCCCAGGGGTTCGAGAACAACCCAGGCAACTTGGTGAGACCTCATCTCTACAACAAGTAAGAAAAATTAGCCGGGTGTAGTGGCATGCACCTGTGGTTCCAGCTACTTGGAAGACTGAGGCGGAAGGATCGCCTGAGTCAAGTAGGTTGAGGTTGCGGTGGCCATGAGCATGCCACTGCACTCCAGCCTGGGCGACAAGAGTGCAATTCCAACTTAAAAAAAAAAAAAAAAAAAGCTTGAGGTAGTTCACACCTGTCATCCCAGCACTTTAGGAGGTGGAGGGAAGAGGATTGCCTGAGTCCAGGGGTTCAAGACTGGCCTGGGCAATTTGGCGAGAACCTGTCTCTACAATAAATCAAGAAAAACTATCCAGGCATGGTTGTCTAGTTGGCTGGCACATGCCTGTAGTTCCAGCTACTTGGAAAGTTGAAGCGGAAGGATTACCTGAGCCCAGCAGGTCTAGGCTGCAGTGGCCGTGAGCATACCACTGCACTCCAGCCTGTGACAGAGGAACACTCTGACTCAAAAAAAAAAAAAAAAAAAAGGCTGAGAGCACTGGCTAATGCCTATAACCTCAGCACTTTGGGGGGCCAAGGTGAGAGGACTGCCTGAGCCCAGACGTTCAAGACTAGCCTGGTCAACTTGGTGAGACCTCATCTCTACAATAAATCAAAAAAATTAGCCGGGAATGGTGGCACATGACTGTAGTTTCAACTACTTGGAAAGCTGAGGTAGAAGGATCGATCATCTGAGCCCAGCAGGTCGAGACTGCGGTGGCCATGAGCACGCCACTGCACTCCAGCCTGGGTGACAGAGTGAGACCCCCGACTCAAAAAAAAAAAAAAAAAAAATTAGTTGGGTTTGGTGACACACGTCTGTGCTTCCAGCTACTTGTAAGGCTGAGACAGAGGGGTCACGTGAGCCCAGCAGGTTGAGGTTGCGTTGGCCATGAGCGTGACACTGCACTCCAGCCTGGGCAACAGAATGAGACTGATTTTTTTAAAAAATTAAGCTAATCACACTTTTTTCAGCCCCAGAATTCTCTTTGTTTTTGTTTTAAAAATGCCAAATCATGAAATAAAGGAAACAGTGAAAAAACCCAAACAAGTAGTTCATCTCATATTCCAGGCATCCTAATTATGATTATCTTGGTCTTGCTGAGCATTTAGAAGTAACTGAAGAGCTGAGCTCTTTCTCAGAAACTAACTCATGGATACATCTAAAACCACTTATTTCTGCAAGTTATTACACTTTCAACTTCCTGTTTCAATTAGCTCATCATGACCATTTCAGGTAACAACGCTTAAGTTAAAAAACCCAACTTCCTCTTTACAAGTTCATAATTTTATAAGTAACAAAAACTTCAGCAGTTAGTTATGAGAATGGATGATTTTACTAGCTTTTACAGAAATACTGGCAAAGAAATCAGAGACCATAATCACCAAATTTAGCTCAGGGTTTAATGCTTTTAGAAAAAGTAACAGCCTGGTGCCGTGGCTCATGCCTGCAATTCCAGCACTTTGGGAGGCAGAGGAGAGGGGTTCAAGACCAGCCTGGACAACTTGACGAGACCTAGTCTCTACAATCAATCAAAAAATTAGCTGGGAGTGGTGGCGCATGCCTGTGGTTCCAGCTACTTGGAAGGCTGAGGCAAAAGGATCCTCTGAGCCCAGCGGATTGAGGCTGCAGTGGCTGTGAGTGTGCCACTGCACTTCAGCCTGGGCAACAGAGTGAGACTCCAACTCAAGAAAAAAAAAATTATTATTAATGTAATTAAAACGCTGTCAATATCCAACAGCATCCTAACTGGCACTTTGAAATACATATATATTTCCCCAAGTTTTAATTAGAAAGGCACTCTAACCTGGTATCAAAGACAAACATTGAACAACATTGGTAAATGTCTATCACTTAGGCACAAGAAACCTCAGTTTATCATCTAAATTCTTTGTGAATTTTTTGTAAAATATTTTTATTTAATTTTATCTGAATCATAACTATTGCCTTAGAATAAACATTTTGTTATAGTTTTATTTCCAGCACAGACTCTTATACAAGATGTCTGTTTCTTTTTCCTAAATCTCAAACATTTATGAAAATCAGTTTCCAACTAAGAGACGATCTAATGCTGAAGTGTTGTTCAACGGCTTGTAAGCGTTGAGCACACTCTTCAGCATTTCAAAATGGCACGCCTTAAACATGATAGATTATTCTGTACAGAGGACTCCTAGGTCATACACAGTCCCCTCCCCCATTCCAATTACTATTTTTTTTTTAAAAAGAAAGACCCAGACAGATTTACAGAGCATTGAAGGGTGCACATTTTGTAACAGCCACAGTGAGAAACAGAAGAACTAATCCTTGCCCTATAAAAAGTTATCTGGAAAGGTCATTCTAACTTCTACAGGCCCTAAAATCGTGCATCTACTGAAAAGCCTGACAAACTGTTATGCAAGATCTGCAACCGTCAGGAAAAACAGTTATTTATTCCACTGAGAACTCGCTCTTGCACTTAAGACACTTTCCCCGAAATAAGTATACAAACTGCACGCTGACAAATGCAACTAATCAAGACTTCGCTGTGGAGCATCAAGGGCAGGACGCTTCGTCCAGACCCGAATGTGTTACAATATAAGGCTTAGGTGTTATATAAAACCTTTCTGGAAGTTAAGAAAACCCAAGGGCTGTTCTTGATTTGCTAACAAGAAACCGAAAACTCTTTTTCAGAAATTATCAATAAAACGATGGAAGACTGTCAGGGCCGTATCTAGTCCTACAAGGGGGAGGTGGGTGCTCAAACTCCGAAGCAAATGCCCCGAGGCTCGCAAATTTAGGACAGCGAATCAGCCAGGCGACAGTACGGGGGGGAAAAGTGGCCGTGGGGCGAGGTGGACACTACTTGGGGGCCTCTCCCTGTCGAGGAGTCGCGACAGCAAAACCACTTCCTGAGGAAGGAGGAGCACAAGGGAAGTCGAGCGGCCACCCTGACCAGGAAGTGACTCGCCCTAAACCAACCCCGATCGTATCTAGAAACGGGGGGATGGGGTGAGACCCGAGCGCCAAAGGCGGCAACATAACCGCTTTCTGACACGTCGCGACAACCACCACCATCCCCTCTCCTCCTCGCACAAAAAGAGTCCACAGTCACGACTCCGTTGGAGAACCAAGCCCCTTCTCCTGCAGGAAGGCCGCGGGGCTGTGCCCCAGGCCCGGGAGGAAGAGTTGAGGAATGGGGAACTGGAGCCACCGTGAGGCAGAGGCAAGCCCCTCAGAGGGAAGCGAGCCGACGGCGGACAGCGGGTGCCCAAACGGGCCGAGGAGCTTCTTTGTCCGGGCACCCTGCCAGGCTTCTCGCCGCGGCAGGGTCGGGCCCCCGTGCCCCGTCCGGGGAGGAGGTAAGCGAGAGAGGCGGACCCCTTACCTTCTCCTCATCCGACACCCGATCCTCGAAGTCGGCCATCTTGGGCTGCTCTGGCCCAGCCCGGCGGCCGGCGCGAGGCAGGCCGGGAAGGAAACCGAGTGATGGAATCGCCGCGGGGGCCGTCGGAAGGACCCGCCCGGAAACGCCGGGCCAGCGGGCGCCATGTCAGTTACGCGTGGGG